TTTTTTTTCAATTTTATGACGATTTTTTGTTTTTTAGGTATCTCTTTAAAGAAAAAAAATTCATTACATGTCTCATATAGACCTCTTTGACATCTAAACAAGGACATACACTAAGGGTCAAGTAATGATCAGTGTCTCCTCAGCGATGAGTCGGAAGGTTTCGAAAAAATTATTGATCAGAGATGGGCATATTTCAGAGGAAATTGGGCCGTTTTGATATCATTTCCTTTTAAATGATGAATCCAAACGGTACTGCCATCATATTTTTTGGGTGCTTAATTTTTTTTTTTTTTTTTTTTTTTTTTTTTGTAATTTGTGAAATTTTTTGGATTGGGCCGAAATTTTGTACAAAAATCATATTTTTGTTTTTTGGAAGGATAGCTTTACTATGAAAAACCTGGACTGAAGCCCCCTTTTTACCAAGGACGATTGCATTTTTACGGAGAAACATGATTGGGCCTTTTTCAGAAATGGACGTCACAAATGAGATGATCGGTCTCGGGCTATCCTTACTGTTGGGGAGAACTGAATCGACGGCAATTTTGGCGAGTTTCACCATGCACCTACTGTCACTCCACCCTGAGTACCAAGAGCGAATAAGGCAAGAGGTGGATGAGGCTATGCGAAAGCACAACACCACAGAGTTCACTTACGAAGTTGTTCGCGATCTTCACTTCCTGGACCAATGTCTACATGGTGAGTACTGAAACGTTAGGAGCACTGGGCTTGTTTCTCATACTTTATCCACTAACTAAGACTTGAGTTTTTAACAAATTGTTTTCACCATCTAAACTTCAGAAGAATTTCTTCGATTATCCATTTGATGCGGCCGGTACATACCTGGAGGGATGCAGGAGTCGTTTCTAAAATGAACTGCAAACAGCAGTTCTTGAGTCCCTTTATACTTAGAGTAAAGACAATACGAATTCATTTATGATTGGTTCTCGTAGGGGGCACGGCAAGGAACAAACGGAAAGAAAGAAGGAACGGAGACAGGATTGGAATGAGCTGATCAAAGATCACGAACAGCGTTCAATTAGTGTGATCTTTATTCCCGTTTGTGACATCGATGAGCCGCGTTGTCATAGAATAATAGTAACCAGAAAGGCAGCAGGCGACCATCTTTGCTCCGATTCTTGAAATCCCCGTGACCCCCGCCCAGCCTATCGATTCAAATTTTGCGGGGATTAAGAGCGAAGTCCGCCGCTCTCACCTTACGTCCCTCTGCCGTTTCAAATTTCGCGGGGAAAAACAGCAAAATCTGCTTCGAAAAAGTGACTACACGCGATCTTACGGGAGGATTTGCTAGTTACCTTTCTGGTAGCTATTATTTTATATGGCATTGTCTTAACTCTCTCTATAAAAGGACTCTAAGTAGTTCCTTATTGCAAAACGTGATTGATTTGATGTAAGGGTCTTTAATCTCAATAATTTTGGATCTCTGCGTTTCTAGAAACTGCGCGTTTGTACCCAAACACCTCAGCACTAACGCGAGTCTGCACGGAGGACGTCACGTTAGCAGGCACCGATTTGACTTTGAAGAAAGGCGAGCGTATCATTGTCGACGCCTATTCTGTCCACCGCGACCCGGAACACTTCCAGAACCCGGATGTGTTCGATCCGGACCGCTTCAGCCCGAAAAACAGAGACAAAAAAGCAATTGACGCTTTCCTTGGTTTTGGAACTGGACCTCGCAAATGCCCAGGTAAAAGAATCTGTATTGGTGTAATCATCAGACCTGGAGCGGACTGATTTATTGACAATTCCTTTGAATTGGCAGAGCCGGTGTAAAATAATTGATATTCAACCTAAAAATACTATTCATACTAGTTCATACTAAAAATAATTACTGATCAACTAAAAGTTAAAAATTAATCAAAATTTAATTATTTAAAAATTTGATTAAATACAAGCTGGAAAAGTCATATAAATTTAATATAAGCAAAGATTATTGTCTTCTACCTTTTGTATCAGGGTTAATTAAAAATGAAAAAGAGTTTACTGTCTCGAAATTTCTACATCACCCAGAATCGATCGTTTCCTCTGCACTTGAATGGTAGAAAACAGTGATGGCAACTTGTGAGACTCGACAATGCTGCAAATATAGAAATCTCGAACATTAGGTAAAATATTATTGAATGTCATCTGTAGAAAGTTAGTATTAACAGTATCAATATTATAAATATACATGCAGGGTTATCCAAAAGTCACTGACCACCCCTGTAACTTTTTTCCAAATTGAGATAGAAGTTTGAAACTTTGGCAATGTTCCTCGGTCTAAGGTAGCAACTTTTTGGTCCCCCCAAAATTAAGGGGGGCAGGGGCTAACTTTTTTTTTCCTAATGGCAACCCCCCCTTTGTGGTACCTCATTCGGAAGGTAATAAGAAAAGAAAATTTTTGGCGCAAACCGCAGGTCAAAAAGTTGATTTTTGACAAAATGGCGGCCGGTCAAAGTTCAAAATGGCGGAAATTTGGCATCTCCGTTTTGTATCGGCGGATTGGTCCGAAACTCAGAATCCTAGGGTTTTTTGGGTCGACAAAAACGATTCTGGCACCGGTTTTCCAGAAAAGTCAGTCCTTTTCAAAATGACGGCGGTCAAAATGGCGGCCTAGAGCGAGAAGTGGATTTTTAGGATGCTTATCGTTGGATTTGCATGAAACTTGGTATCCGGGGGTATTTCGGCACGAAAAGAACGAATCTTTCATTGGATATCGGCAATTCCGATGAATTTCAAAATGGCGGCTGCAAAGTGGCGATAAATCAGTTTTACGGCTGCTTACCGACGGATTTGCATGAAATTCGATATCCTGGTGGTTTTTGGCTGGATAAAAAGAAATCTTTCATTAATTCTTGAAACACTAAATTATCGATATCGCATTTCATGCAAATCCATTCGTTAACAGCCGTAAAACTGATTTCTCACCCTCTTTTCCGCCGCCATTTTGAAATTCATCGGAACTTCAGATATCCAATGAAAGATTCGTTCTTCTCGTGCCGAAATACCCCCGGATACCAAGTTTCATGCAAATCCAACGATAAGGAGCCTAAATATCCACTTCTCGCTCTAGGCCGCCATTTTGACCGCCGCCATTTTGAAAAGGACTGACTTTTCTGGAAAACCGATGCCAGAATCGTTTTTCTCGTCCCAAAAAACCCTAGGATTCTGAGTCTCAGACCAATCCGCCGATAAAAAAACGGAGATGCCAAATTTCCGCCATGTTGAACTTTGACCGGCCGCCATTTTGTCAAAAATTAACATTTTGTCCTGCGGTTTGCGCCAAAAATTTTCTTTTCCTATTTTCTTCCGAATGAGGTATCACAAAGGGGGGGTTGCCATTAGAAAAAAAAAAGTTAGCCCCCGCCCCCCTTAGGAGGGGCCGCCCCCCCCCAAAATTTTGGGGAGACCAAAAAGTTGCTACCTTAGACCGAGGAACATTGCCAAAGTTTCAAACTTCTATCTCAATTTGGAAAAAAGTTACAGGGGTGGTCAGTGACTTTTGGATAACCCTGTAGATGTATTATGAAGTTTAGGTTGATTATTCCCTAAGCGCATTTCTGTATTAGCCACGGTTAGCACACGCTCTTATGCGTTCCGAAGCTTATCTATGCCCTCACTGCTTTTCCCCATAACAAGGCAGAGTGCCGCTTGTTCTAGGTTTTGTTTTTTTAAAGAGCATTCGCAAAACGGATGATTTCTGCTCTCATTCATAGATGACGCATGTTTTAAATAGCATTCGCAAAACGGATGATGTTTCTTCTCGTTGATAGTTGACGCACACGGAGAAAAAAACTTCGTGCGTGGGACCCGAAGTTGAGGTCATGTGGACCTCTGAAGTTTTCTGATCATGCATCCGAAAACTTGAGGTCGAGCTGCCGAAGTTCGGGTCCCACGCACGAACTTTTTTTCTCCGTGTAGAATGTCATATTATCATCAGTTTACGATTTAGGAAGGATTGAGACACCCAACTTTAGTTTTTTCTTGTTCAATACTGTCTGTTTCTACCTGTCAAATTATGGAATTTTTAACCCTTTTTTACCTCTGAACAGGTTACAAAGTTGGTTTCCTGATGGCATCGACTCTGATTGGCTCTCTGGTGCACAAGTACGAAGTGAGACCCCGCTCTCACACAAAGCAAATGGACGCATACGATTTTCATCCCCGCAGTTTCGTCAACGTCCACAAAGATGACATTCTTGTTGACGTCATGCCTCGAGAAATTCTCGCGTGCTGAGGAAATCATGAGGAAGTTTTTGCTGGAACGTTTTCCAACAGCTAAAAGTAGGCTTAAAATCTCCATTCTTAGCATTTTCGGACATGTTTTCAGATTTTGGTGGAGGTGCGGTGATAAGGATCGCACATTTGGAGAAATTTTTCTGGTTAGGAGAGTGCGGTCACGAAATATACCTGTAAAATCTTGTATGCGTAGTTTGTGAGACAATAATCTATGCCCTAAAATCAGCATACTCGTATGCTACAGTGCGCACCGAATTCGGAATAGAAACTTGTTAATATACGTTGTTTTATTTTAGAAGAATCAATTTTCTCCGTACTTAGAGTTTTATTTTCATTCGAGAGGAATTATTTCCACTAAAAGATTATTTGAGGCATGGAACCATTTTTCTTGTCGATGAAATTGTTTTCAACGCAATGGAATCAAATAAAATTTTAAAAATAAGAAAAAATCAAGTTTAAAGGAAACTAAAAAAGGTGCAAACAGCAAATACAATTTGCATACAACGAAGATACATCGCTTTGAATAAAAAAATAAATTTAGTCATTTGGACAATAAAATTATTTTGCTACTAAAAAAGAGAGAAAGAAAAAAATACCTCAGTGTTGAAAAACGATCTTCGAAAGGAAACAATTTTTTACACATACATACATAAAGTCGCGATTATAGCGCCGCCTCGCGCTCTGCGACGCCCAATCGCCATTGCCCCCTATCCTCCCAGAGATCATCAGGCAATTGGCACCTTCTGATCTCCTCCTCCACCCCTTGTCGCCAACCTTTCACAGGACGTCCACGCCGTCGCCTTCCGGGAGGAACCCAATCGAAGACCTGCTTGGGCAACCGATCATCTGCCATCCTTCGCANTTACGAACAATTTTTTAACCTAACAGATTTTCTTCACCTCAAAAGCAATTTTATTTTGAAAAATTAATAAATTATTTGACAGCACCAAAATGGTACCGATGGAACATGACTTAAAATGTGATAGGCGCAGTTTTTACATTCAACGAACGTATGAAGCGTTTTTTCTGTCGGAAGTTTCGGGACTCTTTCGTGGTGATTCTTGGGTGGCATTCGAATGTAGATAAATAGATGCACTGCACTGAATTCTTTACCATGCGATCGCTACGTGAAAATGGTGATTCGTGCGTGCCACACTCACGTGGCACAAATGTGTGTTCAACACGCAACCCAGCAAAGCTGTTGCTTTATGGAATAGGTATTTCAGAAACAACCCGCCAGCATAGCAATGAGCGGAAAATTTCGAGAAATTTTGTACATTATGTTGTACACTAGTAAAAAAAGACAAGGAAAGCAACTGTAAAAAATTATAGATGTTGTTCAAATACTGGAACAACAGGATCGTATAATATTGTTTGGTAGCTCTATCGGAATGTCAAGCCTAGAAAATCCAAAAAATATTACTAGAGTAAAAAAATGAACTCCAAGTAATGATTTTCAGTGCATCCATCAGCCTTTTTGAGCACGACCGGGCAACCTCCCCTTCCCCAGGTCAATCATAGCCACGCTCGCATGTGCGTTTATGACTTTACAGATGATGGGAGACATTTGAGCAAGACAAATGCAAACATTTGTAATTGTAACGTATGGATTTTGTCATTAAAAATGGTAGTGATCATCCCACAAAGCCCAGCTGAGCTTTCCAAAAAAGAAATTCAGCTGCGAAAAGTTACGATGAAACAGTTTCCTATTACTTGAAAGTTGGGTGCAAAAAAATTCAAATATACATATAGCTTTTGACGAATGACAACTTTTATCAAGCGAGTAGCAAGTAAATAGCTGTTGAATATTCAGTTACTGTACTGATAGAAAATGTTTCCTGGTGGTCAAAAATTACTATTCTATAACGAGTTTGCTTTTTATAAATAGAAGGAAATTGATATTAAATAAACGTTTCGTGGCAATGAACGGACTTTAGAAGGAGGTAAGAGCCAGGAGCTTTGCACACCAATGTTGCAACTTTACATTCAAAAATTATTAATTACTCGAGAATGGTTGCCAATTTTCTTTGTAAAAAATCTGTTTTGCTTTTTTGACCTGAAAAAAAAATTGTTTGAATTGAATTGTGCATTACATGAACATATTAAAGAAACAAAAAAAGTTGTCAATTGAAACTCTAAAACTTAAAAATGCCACGAAGCCATTCTAAATTTCCCCCTCATATATTGTCAACAAAAAGCACAAGTATTAATTGCTATTGATCATGATGTTCTACTGTAGGTCGAATATTTGTAACATTAGGTACTCTCTGAACCCTACTGTCTACTGTTTTATTGTTTAGTGCATGATTTGTCTATTTTGGTGATTATTCTTATTTTACGATGAATTAATGTTTGCTACTTAATTATTATTTCATAAATGTAATTGTTTGACTTAATGTTTGTTCGACGTACAGGGTGTTTCAGACCACCCGTACCAGGCCTTTTTCTCGGTTGGTATAGGTCGTACGAAGTCGGAGACCGCGGGGTTGATTAGGGAATTGACCCAAAGGAATCCGAATTTCGTGGTCCCGAAACCCCCCCACCCCCCCCCTTGGGGGGTAAAGGGGGGTCACGATGCTAAAAGTCACGGTTCCCGACCGAATTGCGGATAGATCGCATCAGAACTGAAAAGCACGGAAAATTTCACGTGGAATTGACCCCTAAAAATCCTAAATCGGACCATCCAAGGCCCAAAAATGACCCCCTAAAGAGGGGGGCAGTAGCCCCCTCCATAATTTCTCTTTGGTCTCAAAATTGACGTAAATTCTCCAGAAAAAGACGGTTTCCCGGGTAATCGACCTCGAGAAATCCAAATTTCATGGTCCCGAAGCTCCTCTAGCTCCCGTTGGGGGCTAAACGGGGGGGCCCAATTTTAAAAATTGGGGCTCCTTTCCGAATCGCAAATTGATTGCATCCAAATTGAGGAGCAGAACACAGTTACATCTTAAGTGACTCCTAAGAGTTCTAATTGACCCCCCTGAACGGCAGAAAGTAACCCCTGAGGAAGGGGGCCTCGCCCCCGCCAAAAATTTCTCAGGATTCCTCTTTGGTCGCAAAATTGACGTCGATTCTCCAGAAAAAGACGGTTTCCCATGTAATCGACCCCGAGGATTCTAAATTTCATGTTCCCTGAGCTCTTCGGGGTCGATTACATGGGAAACCGTCTTTTTCTGGAGAATCGACGTCAATTTTGCGACCAAAGAGGAATCCTGAGAAATTTTTGGCGGGGGCGAGGCCCCCTTCCTCAGGGGTTACTTTCTGCCGTTCAGGGGGGTCAATTAGAACTCTTAGGAGTCACTTAAGATGTAAATGTGTTCTGCTCCTCAATTTGGATGCAATCAATTTGCGATTCGGAAAGGAGCCCCAATTTTTAAAATTGGGCCCCCCCGTTTAGCCCCCAACGGGAGCTAGAGGAGCTTCGGGACCATGAAATTTGGATTTCTCGAGGTCGATTACCCGGGAAACCGTCTTTTTCTGGAGAATTTACGTCAATTTTGAGACCAAAGAGAAATTATGGAGGGGGGTACTGTCCCCCTCTTTAGGGGGTCATTTTTAGGCCTTGGATGGTCCGATTTAGGATTTTTTGGGGTCAATTCCACGTGAAATTTTCCGTGCTTTTCAGTTCTGATGCGATCTATCCGCAATTCGGTCGGGAACCGTGACTTTTAGCATCGTGACCCCCCTTTACCCCCCAAGGGGGGGTGGGGGGGTTTCGGGCCCACGAAATTCGGATTCCTTTGGGTCAATTCCCTAATCAATCCCGCGGTCTCCGACTTCGTACGACCTATACCAACCGAGAAAAAGGCCTGGTACGGGTGGTCTGAAACACCCTGTATTTTGGATTTCTCCTTTGTTTTATCGTGCTTCTTAGTTGCCTCTTCCTAATCAGATTTTTACATATTTGGGTATTCATTACTTTTATAATTATAGTTATTATAATTACACTAATGTTTTTTTGACAAGATGGTTGTTTATTCATTATAGTCTGCCTTCCTTAATTAATACATCAGCTGATGTAGGGCAATGACACATTCGAAATAACGCTTCAAAATGAAACAAACGTGTATTTTCTTTGGAAAATACTCTGAAAACAGTGTTTTGTTAAACACGCACACAAACCATTAAATCCGAATATAAATCGTCAAATTCCACAAAGAAAGCGCGTATCACATTCGCCAAGAGTGGCGGCAATGGAAAGTGTTGTACAACTTTTTTTCTTCTTCTTCTTCTTCTTCTTCTTTTTTTTTAATTCGGGTTATGCCTGACTACAGAGATCAAGGACAGACGTATCCGTGACAAACAGCACGAGGCATATAAAAAACCTATTACATTTGTTAGTATGAGCTAACAACGTTTCGTAAGAAAAAAGTTTTACAGTCAAAAATTTCCAGGGTAAAAATTTTTGTTAACCATTCATTAAATTGCAAAAATATTGATTCAGAATGTACTCCACGCGAGTCCCGAAATTTGAGTCGTAGTGATATTCCCGATCATCTTCAAACAATTTTCTGCAGAGGCATGCTCTGCATATTAGCAATTCCTCCGATAAAAATTGCCAATTAAATTAGTATATTTATAAAATATACTATTATACTATATTTATAAAAGGAGCAAACTGGCACCTATTCGTATACATAAGAGGTGCTTTCATAACGCTCTCTGGCGCGCTGCGACACCTAACCCCCTGATAATACAACGGCATATATACTGCCTACAAAGTGAGCCAACAATTTTAGCTCCTCATTACAAAATATGGTCGAAAAATATATATTTTTTTCCGTCGTAAGTGATGTAAGAACGAAAAATGGAAGTGCTCTAACAATGCGCCGGTACTTTTAAACATTTCATCAAGTACTAAACTACTCCCATTTCTCGCGAAAATCTGTGCTGATCTACAAAAACAAGGGTAAAACTTTCCAGTCTGTCCAATTTTGGATTGTAACCTGAAACCTTACGGAGAAGAGAAAGCTTCTCTTGTCCGTATCTTTGATGTGTTTCCAAGACCAGACAAATGGAGTCGTTTAAAATCTTTTTTAGATGCAACTATTCGTGCTACATGCACAAAAAATTGAAGGAGCTCTAATTTTTCTCGCCCGTATTGTTGATTGTTGTGACAAGTTTTGGATTGGGTACCACCTGGGAAGAGGCGACGGGGACGTCCCGTAAAGGGTTGGCGGCAGGGCGTTTACGAAGAGATGTTGCGGTGTCAGTTGCCCGAGAACCTCTGGGAAGACAGGCATAAATGTGGCGTTTGGGTGTCGTAGAACGCCCGAGTGCGTTGTAAAGCGACTTCATATATATACATTGTTGATTGTACAGCCATCAGACACACCGAGGCGTTCGTAATAACGTCCGAACGCAACGATTTGAGCTCCTGAACCTCCACGTTGCATACACTCATAAATGGAGGCGCTCTCATGTTTTTACATGCGCTTCATCCTCCATATATAAATCAATTTTATTCTTGGAATCGTGCGGTCGAAGGAATATTTTGCAGGAGTGCATTATTCGTCTAGTTTGACGAAACATTTGGATTGGATTTCTCGACGCAGAACACTTTTGACGCTACAGAGGACAACTTCTCAAAGAGTTCAAGGTATTTTAAAATTTGACCTTCAATGGGACAGATGATAGCTCTGATGAGAATGTGGTTCGATTTTCCATCCGAATTTCAAGCAGCACCAAAGGCGTACAAAGGGGGAGGGGGACTGCCCCCCTCTAAAGTTGGAAATAGTATCATCTGCCCCACCCCAGAAATTCTGGATGGAGCAAAAACACCTTCTTTGATGCACATAATTTTTACTTAAAATCCCGCGCTCGAACAGTTACTTTTTTCTTCTCTGTTCATTATTCAGTCTAATTGCTTTACAAAACCTGGACGCAATCGATTTTTTCAAATTCATACCGCTACTGTTTAGGAGATGAAAAACGTTTAATCGCTCATAGTTATGTCTTGCTTATTGTATCATACTTTACTTCGCATCGGCTTTTTCTAATCAAAAAACAACGATTCTGGCATTTTTTTAAACATTTATCCGCAATTTTCACAGAAAAGAGTGGTTATCGGTGAGAATATAAACAGAATAATAACCTGTTGAATGCAACAATTTGAAAGTATTTTAACCTTAAAATGCATAAAAGTGGGTAATTTTTGTGCAAAAATTGAGGGAAGATTAGCGCCACGGATGCCTCGAGATGCGCTCAAGTGGAGTTAAAATTTCACACATTTTCTGGGGGAGGCCTCCAGAACCCCCCTCTGGGCTGGGGGGTATGGAATACCCCCTAGACTCCCCCAGACAGGTGGTGGGGGGCCAGCCCCCACCAGCAAAATGACCTAGGTACGCCTATGAGCAGCACGCTCTTCCTCCTCTTCCTCCTCCTCCTCCTCCTGTACCTCCTGCTCCTCTTCTACCTCCTCCACCTCTGACATCGACTGTTGACGTGCCCTGGCATTTTGCTTGAGGTTCATGCCGCGCAGGATCTCCCCTCCGATACCAGGGACCTCGTACATGAAATGGTTGATCCCTGGCGAATTTAATATGCCCATAAGGTGGATAGTGAAGTGAGGTCTGTTCTTCTGCCCCTCTTTCCACGTGACCTCGACGTTTTTCCCGACGGCTCTCAGCGCGTCCAGGAACTGCGGGCCCTCCTCGTGAGCCATGAGGGCCTTCAAAATGAGCCCTTTGTACCCGTCGTGAACGTCGCTCGGTCTCGGGGCCTTGTAGTATAACTTGACTCCTTTCCATGTCCTCCGTGGATAACTCAGCCATCTCTTCCATGACGACGACCTGGATAAAGATGCGGAATCGACGCATTTAGTGTGACGTCACATATCGATGTATTATCAATATCTCGAAAGTCGAAACGTGCCCAAAAAATGAACACAGAAATAATATAAATACACATTAATATTTATCGGGATATTTATCATATGTTAAAATTTTTGTTCAGAATGGATTTATTGACAACGTGTTTTAAATACCTTTATTTTTAATCTTTAAAACCGAATATAAGGGACATGTTTTTAAGCGTGCCAGTAGGGCTCGCTTTTTGAAATCACTCGGATGTACCATAGTACAGCACACCGATCAACCAATGCTATTCAACGGGCCGTCCAAATATTTTTTTCCTCGGAGTCTCTTACCAAAAAACCGAATGAACTGCTAATTGGGAACCCTTGAGAACATTTTCCTGTCAAAACCGTATTATTTCATTTGACAAAAACCTCATAGAAGCTTTCTTACGCTCGGAGGACTCAACTCTAGAACCTTCTTTCCCGCCAAAACTGTTTAGCCAATGAGCGTCTTGCACTGCAAGTGCAATCTGTGATGAGCCTCGTTACTCTTTATACCATGTACTAACCGTGGCCCCTGCAGAAATCCACTCAAACCACTGCAGTTTTCTCCCGATATAGCTTTGGGTGTCAGGTTTCGAGCAAGGCAATAAAAGACGGCGAGGAGAGGGTCGCCTCGTCGAACCTATTATCTTCCACGCCCGATTAACCATTCACCGTGACGCCAGGATCCACCAAATTTTCACAAAAATTGTTTTCCGTCTATTTAGCGAGTTTTTCCTTACTTTCCGTTAAAGTACAAATAAAAAGAGACCTCATTATTACTCTATATAAAGCTGCTGTTCCCACTCACTCTGCCCCCCCTAGATAAAAATTGGCCGAAGCGATTTCCTTTAAAATTGGTACACGCTTAGCTATTGTAATGAGGAGTTGATTAAAATTATTCCCATTCAAATCCGCTGCCT